TACAGGGATAGGGAAGTAATAATTTAAGTAAAGATGCAACTAGAATACAGATCGCACATTGTAGAGGAAACAAATGCAACTTCATCAATAATAACTGGGTTGTCATTCAAAGAGAAATGCAACTTCCTTGCTCTGTACGCACTTTGTACAGATTTACTCTAGTGGAAGGCCCGCTTTCCTACCTGAAAAGCAAAGAGAGAAAAATGGCGGGGGGGAGAGGGAAATGTGGACTTTATAATATCTTTCCTGACATTTGGAACAGAAAACTGCGCCACATTACTCAAGGGAGAGTGTCACCACAGAGTGGATATAAAAGGGTTACAACACTTTAAATGCTTTTTCATACTTTAATGAGAGTGGATTTTTTTCTTTTAGGTAAGTAGTTCCCACACTGTGGTCCAGAAAATAATAGTAAGAGATTTAGAGCCAATGTGTGGAACTAACATTGTGTTTACAATACTGTTTCCCTCCCAAAAAAAGAAGAGACCTTGTGGAGGGGGGGGCTGGAGGCGGGGGGAGGAAGCGGGAGTCACACTATTTCACTGAGAAAATGTGTAAACCAGATGCCAGATAGCTTATTTTTTTTTCCCCAAGACTAGCTGGATTTTCTGAAAGTCTGGTTCTTTGGAAGCCTGTTACATTCCCTGCTCATTATGGAGAAGAATTTCTGCAACCCATCCCTGAACGTGAAAGAGCATGTTCATTTGCTACTCGTAATCCCATTGAATATGCAGCACCAACACCATTAAGAAGCACTCAGTTCCCAGGCTGCTATAAGCCCTAAGGCTAAAGCAGTTTCCTGGAGCCTACTAAAAAAAATCCTTATGCTCCATTCCCTGAAGATGCTCCCAGGTTTCCTCTTACCTAGACAGGCTGCGCATGGGAACAGAATAGGCTCTGGCTGTAGCCCAACTGCCTGAGGGAGCAGACTGCTGTGGGTGGCAAACCAAACTATTTGACTTATGCCTACACCTTGGAAAGCCAGGCTGGCTGCTACTGCAGCTGTGCAAGAGGTCAGGATGAGCCGGGCAGTGTCTGCGCTTGCAGAAGGGACCCCCCTCAGCAGAAGCAAACACCACGCTCAGCTGTCCCCAAAAAAGAGGACCTGATCTCCCTAAGTCCAGCCCTGGTCCATCTGTCCCAAGTTAGGATAATTTAACCCTATTTATTCTGCTGAGAAGCTGGTTTGCCCTTTAGCTCACTACAAATGAAGTGCAAGTGATAAGGATTGCCTAATCTTCTAGATTTTCTATTTCTTTGTTTTGTTAAAGTTTAGAGATTAAAGAAAACTCGATTCAAAGACAGACATTCAGCATGTTTAAGTGACATCCTCAGGGTAGAAAGATTCAATTTGAAAACATCTGAGCCTTATATAAAGACAGCAAAGTAGTTCTTCAATAAATACTTTAAAGACAAATGTAGACTGGGGTACTGATCCTATGAAAGCAATTTTTATTTGGAGTTATTGAAACAGCTGCTTTCCTCGTGAGATAAAAAGCTCCAGTCAAACATCTCAAAGTAATTTCTTATCTATGCTTCTAAGAACTGTGTTTATTTGCTACATGTGATGTCAGATGAACCTAGCAAGATGCAGTTAGCAAGAACCAGGGTGTGCGTCTGTGTAAATTGGGGAGGATTTTTTTTTAAAGGGTCATTTAATGGGAATTTTTCCTATTGGCATTCGTGTATTATGGTTTGCGTAAAAAAAAAAAAGAAGAAGAAGAAGAGAAATATACTGCCAAAATGGTAGAAATTAAAGTTTACTCAGCATAAATTAATAGCTTGGTAAAACTGGTTTTATGCATGCTTCCAGCAACAAATGCTTCATTAAGAAATACCTGTCCTCAGTAAGGCCAGGTGTATATATAGCAATATAAAAGAGTGGTAGAGTGAACTGTTAAAAAATCAGTCCCTGCAATCATCAGCAACATACATCTCCTCTTTCCACATAAGGGAAAACTATAGCAATATGAAATACCATTACAGCAATTTCTAATTGTTTCTGTTTAAAGTTAGCATATGGGAATAGATATTTGCTAGCTAAAGAAAAAAATGTTCTAATGTATTTTAAAATGCTTGTATTTATTTTGGTGCTAATGGAGCTTATACTGGTAGTAACAGATGTGGTCATCCTTGCTCCCATTCAATTGAGAAGCATATTTGACATTAAAAGATAAAGAATAGAAATTTCTGGAAGGAATATATAGTTACATCTTCAGACCTATGTTGGACTTCCAAGAAATCAGGCATATGTATACACATATAAACTGAAACAATAGCATATATTTTAAAACATTGTCTGTCAATCACCTGCTCTACTTTGCCAATACAGAAACTTATGGTTATATGTTGATAATGGCTGTTTGAAAAAATACATATTATAGTGTTTGTCGTGATATTTTTCTTGTTTCTGTTTTATCATTTAACAAACAAAAGAAAGAGCTATTCTTACCAGTGAACATGCAAAGGAGTTTTTACCTTGTAAGACTGATTGAGAAGGTGTAATTTCATCTATTTTCATCTGATATTAAAATGGACACTTGGCAATTACACAGAAAAAAACTACAGGAGAAGCCTGGTATATCTGTCAGACTCACAGAAATGAAAGCAAGAGCCCAAATGATTGAATTCTTATGATGAGTTCCAAAACACAGTTAAATACTCTGATAACTCTTGACCAGTTTTGGAATGTGCATAGTAACAGCGTTTTAAGACATCTTTTTTCTATGGACCTTACCAAAAGACTATGAATTCAAGAGAAACTTTTCCAGGAAATTCAGTGTGGTTTTGATGAGGCCCCCAGGTAATTTTGTTGTGTCGGTATATTCAGATCACACAGTATCAGATCTTACAACAATATCAGACAATTCAGAAAGCTGTATGTAACTATGAATTCAGGAGCATAATAACTGAATTACTCATTTAGGATCAAGTGGTTGTCCATTTCCTTGACAATCTTTACTTTATACTCTGAGCTATACTCGGGACAATGTCACTTTTGTGCCTTCCAGTCTTTAGGCAAATAAATTGTTAACTTCATTAGACAAACTAGAAAAATAATAAGAACATATAAATTCACAGAAGTTAAGAAGCAAATGAAGATTGACAAAGTCATAGTATATAAAAATACATGGAACTATTACATGCTACCTATCTCAAGTTTATTCTCTAGTTCTGGCCTTTCAAGGAAAGAACAGTAACGAGCTCACTAATATAAATAACAGAAAAAAAGGTCATATTTAGTTATTCTCTAAAACCTTGGCTGTATTATTCAATTTATAGGCAAAATAAAGCACAAAGTGATTCCAGAAATTTTAAAAAAAAAAAAAAATTAGCTAACTAGAAATTATATTGAAGCTTACTCTGAAGAACAAAACATGAAATTGTACTTAGCTATTTTGAATAATTGAGCACTGTTCATAAAATCTGAGCATCATCTGGGTGGCATAAAAACTTTTTGATCAATTAAATTAAAACAAATCTGACATTAAGTAACATATGGATGTATGGTAATCTGCATTTTGATCAGTTGCAGAGTGATGGAAAGGTTAACAGTAGGATTCATTCCAGACAGTACATCTGGGCAATATTTGAATCTTTAGTTTTAAGTCTAGCACTCGCACAGCTTTCATATGGCTCATTAGATGCACCCACAATAAAGTGCTCATTTAGAAAACTGCATCATAGTTCACAAATAAGGGTCTTCAACGCTAAATGATTACCAACAATTTATGTCATTCCACGTAGTAACCAAATGATATTTAGATAATGTAAGAATCAACATTGGAGAACATCAACTATATTAAGAAAGCAGCCTATGAAGAATAATTCCTGTAGAATGTAGGTGTATATGTAGGTAAAATGCAAAGAACTCATGTGAATAATACAATGGAGTAAAGTTCAGCATAACGAGATCAAATTCATTTTGTCTTGGTATACGTAAAAAGACCTAACATTGATGCAGTTAGAAGTGTGTTTTCAGAGCTATGTTTTCTACTTTCTGTAATATCTCATTGACTTCTTCAGCAAAAATTAACTACCACACTGAACGTTAAGCACAATTCAGTGCTGAGCTGAAACTCTTCTGATTTGCCTTTAGGAAAAAAAAAAGAGAGAGAAGTATTTAAAGAAAGATGCAAGAGTGCTGCCCTCTCCAGCCATAAGCAAGTCTCAGTATAGGTAGACAAGTCACGTTAAGAAGAAGAGAAGCTTCCTCCTCTTAGCAGGGAGGAAGTTGTATAATAACACAAGTGGCTTATTTTAACAGTCCTTTCCCTCTACAAGAAACACAGGACTTTTCAACTATCTTATTTCATAATTTTACATGGCATAAACAATCTTATGTTACCCTTCCAAGAAGTGTCATGGAGTAATGCTTGCACAGAGCAACTGCATTTGGATGGCAGACAGTAAACTGAACTTCAAGCTGCAGATTCATACTGCAAACTCCCTTCAAATAAAACTTTCACTGAAATCACTGTAATTTTTTTTTCTGAAAAATGCGAGCAGGATATAATTAATTTGAACACTTTCACAGAACTTTCTTGAATGAATGCATTATTATTTTGACACAGGTTTGGAATGCTAATTTTTTTTGTTCACATAGTATTATATTTGGTTTTATTTGTTTTGAGATTTTGTTTCAGCTTTAGTGTTAGCTTGACTTAAGAATGCAATCTCTTCCTCAGTAATTTTTGGTAACAGAATGATAGTTCAATTTAAAGCAACTGAAGTATTTTACTTAAAATAATTACTAAACTTTATTAACAGTATATTTTCACTGCTTTCTGTATTTTTTGATTAAGTTTATTCAATCAAATTGACAAGGAGGTTATTTCTTTTTCTTCCTATGAGTCACATAAAACCCCTTTGAAATGGCATAAGGATAATAATTAATAAATTCTAATAATGGAATGCATTGTACAAGGAAAAGATCATTACAGCACATTGTTAAGCACTGCATCCTATCTCTCTGCTGTTTTGTTACTTTCATTCCTTACCTCTTTGTTGGCTCTATCTGCTTGAACTAATGTTCCGTTCAGACACGGCTCTACATAGTGAAGTTCTTCATTATACTACAGAGAGAAATAAAAAGTATGATGAAAAATTTAATTAAAAGCTTTGAAAGATACAATTTGATTTAATGATTTAGAACTACAGTGAAACATGCACATAAAGCAAGAACAAAAGGATTCGGTTCATTTTTAAAAACTGGTTGTGGTATTTTTTTTCCTTTTACATGATTCTTAATGTTTCAGAGGTTTATACTTTTAAAAAGAAGCATTTAATTGAACGGATGCCAGCACTCAGGTGGAGTTAATGGGTACTATATACGCTAGCTGGCATAAATATCCTTCAAGTTGAAATCTGGATAGTATTAAGAGGTCATGTTTGATACATCACACTCACAACTCCCTATTCTTTGCTACATATAAAAAAAGTCCTGACAAATATTTGAGGCACTGGCTAACATTTTGGAAGGTTAATAGCGGAACAACTACGCAAAAAAGTCTGTAAGCTTGAATGAATCCTGGACATGTCTGACAATAGTCAGAATTTCAGTCAAGTAGAGTAGCTTATTATACACTAAGTCACGAAGCTGTGACAGATCTTTAAGGAGTTATCTCCTTATCCTGCAAGGTCTAAGTTAGATAGCCTAGTCCTATTTTCAGAAGCATCTTAAGCATTAAAGAAACCGTCTCATCTGCAGTCAGTAGATCTTGCAGACTCATGGATGCTTAAGTCACTTGATTGAAAATTGGACTTGATTGTTTAAATCTTTTAAACCTTTCAACACAGGTCAAATTAATACAGAAGTACCTTCAAAAAGTCTACATTAGTTGTATAGATAGAGTTTTAAGTTAATTCCGCCTCTCATTAATTTAATCTACTCTAGAAGTTATCACAGATCAAACTACAAGGCCTTTGCATTTAGGCTTTAAGCAGTTTCACCCTTTCATAGATATTAATTGAATCAGAACATCCATAGTAAACAACAAAAGACAACATGTTAAGTCAAAAATAATCAGGAAAAACATTTCATTAGATTAATATATGCATTTATTCCCTTCTTCTTCCGCCCCAGTGGGAATAAAAAAAGCCTTACAATGACTCATTACAGAATGCTGCTTAGACAAGGTTCTCTGTCACTGCAAGTTCTCACTGTCTCTGTCTTCCTGTAGCTCTGAATTTGTTCTACTCTCTTCAATTTAACACCACTCCTTTCTCTACATATATGTCTAATCATAGACCCCTGCAACCTGTTCCACTTTGGACACCTGTCATCATCATTCATTTTAACAGCGCCCTAATCACCACACTCATAATTACATAATTACTGTTGCATAGGGAGGAGTGTTTAATCTGAACTGCATCAAGTTATTCTTGAGACATTGTGCTAGACTCAGTCCTTAGCTATAAGGAAATACAAACCCAGAGTAACTCCACTTACTATTGCTGATTATACAGACTATTTACATCAGCATCAACATAGTCATTTATTGATTGTATAGAAACAAACAAAAATGCTCGGAAGATATTTACACAGAATTTCTGCAGCAGATTTTGCATGCTTCCTTAACTATTTTATTCCCATTAATGTTATTCCAATATATGACAGCCTGTGGACATGTCTATTACTCCAAAGGTAATATGAAAAACAAGGCAAAGACTTCTAGAACACTTTAGAGTACTGGGAGTGTCCCGTGAGCATCTCAGTGTCATAACAGTTTATTGATCTGATAAATGATGTACTTTCCCTTGTAGTTTCTTTCTTCAGACTGCTTTCCAATCTATCTCCTGACAGTCATTGCAAAATAATAATGCCAAATCTCATATTATAGGCCAAAGACCATATTCCATTCTATAGTAAAAAAATATTGAAAATCTGTAACAGACACCGGTACACCAGCCCCTACTCCCAAGCTTTTTCCTGTCTTCACACAGTTTTTTTCAGCATGTTCTTTAATCAGTATACTTTCTGGTTAAGCCTATTAGCTTGATTTCTGTAGCTGTCATTGGAAACTATATTAACATACATACTTTTCTTTATATGATACCAAGCACAGTGTCTGTAATTGGCCAACATGCAATAAAATACTGAAGTCTACCTGTCTCTCAGTCATGGTCTCAGTTTCAAACAGCTGCATGCAAGCAAACTCAGAATTTCCTAATGCTGTAGTGGTACCACAATTTTTTTTCCAGGCTTATCACCACCAGCAAATACATGAAACAACTTCCTACTCTATCAGACCTTGCATCTAAGTAGCATAATTTCAGTCCATTAGATTTGTATAAGATTTATTTTAACTACTATTTTGAATAACTCGTATCACCAGGCTATTCCCACAGACATGTAGCTTGCGTGTCTGCTAGCTGCACCATAACCCAGATAGATTCCCAGTAGCTTCCCACTATGCCTTTAGTGTTACTCAGTTGCATAGTATAAAGGATGCCCACACTTTCACAAAGAACATGCTTTAAGCCCCCTAGCAGCCCCATTTTACAGAATCAACCTACTTAAAAAAAGGATGAATAAAAATGTTCATTCTCACATGAACAGCACAATTACATAGATGGCATGTGGACAAAGCACTTTCATTATCACTATGAACATAAGAAAATGTAGATATTCATCCATCTGAAACCCAGCCAAATTGTGACACTATTTGCATTTGTGGCATCTAATTCACCCTGAGATTATTACTATCAAAAATATTTTAAGTAATCTGCTACGTATGGCAGAAGAAACTGGATTATGCCAACGTGTGTAAATGAGTATTTAATGTAATGGTGTTCTATGGATAACAAACATAACCTGGAAGAGTTCTGTTTGTTAGCAGTTCTTCCTCTACTGTACAGGTACAAATGAAAGCATAGTAAGAAAAACCTTTATATAAAAAGGTATAGCAGCTTTTGATGGTTTGAATTCTTGCAATGGTGCATTTTTATGATCTATTTTAATTTTTATACTCCTTGCTAATTGTATACACTTTCTTTTCCTTTTTAAAAAACTCAAATATTAAAAGATGGAAAAAATCACTAAACAAAATTATTTCAGTTCCAAAAGAAATTCCCAAAATAGCAAACACCTGCCTCTCCAAGTCCATGAAAACTGTAGAATTCTGATGCAACATGTGAGAGCGTTCAAGCAGTGTTTGCTGCTTAAACTAGCATATCCATCTAATAAGATCTTTAGTACAACTGTCAGCTTCTAGTAAATACCCAGCTTGTGCTTCATAGCATATATTCAGTTTCTTTGTCCTTGTCATAGGGTGTTTTGCAGTATTATTGGTGATGTCTTTCTTTTCACTGTACCAAATCTTTAAAGTGGAAAAAGGAAAAAATTCCGCCCCCCCCTTCCCCACCACTTTTATCAGCAATTTGAACTCAGTTCTACAGCTTTTCTATGACATTTAAAATTTTGTATTTAGTGAAATACCTTCCTAATCTTGAATCAAAAGGCTGATTAGTAACTGCTGACTTTGCCAGCAAAACCCAGTATAGATGTCTTATTAATTTACCCCAGTAAAAGCCTGCATTTTGCTTTTCAAGAGTCTTGCATTACACTTTTTCTTATATTTCCTAGTGTTGCATAGTCCTATACCCCTATACTCTGGCATATGACATCTTTGCATGTTATAGTAGTGATAGCTGTGATGCAATAGCCGAGAGAGCGAATACCTGTGCAGTAGCTGTGAATAGCCCATGTTTTGCTGAAGGAGGGAGGGAGAGAAGTAAAAACCAATTACCCTCCTTTCTGAGTTCCTCTTCTAAAACCTTGGTCTACTTTCATCTCTCTTGTAATTTAAACGTTTGATGACTTGATTTTTACTATTATTTTATTTACTTAGTTACATTTATCTGTTTTATTAGTTCACATTATTTTGTCACTTTAGTTATTTCTTTGCACAACATAAAATAAAATGAGTGGGCTAAAATCTGAACTAAGAGGAACCATACAGCTAGTTAGCTGCTGACCTACATTGTATAATCAGATACTATTCGTATTCTGAAAATGTGAGACATATGGTTCTAGCACACCTACATAAGTCGTTTACATTTACCTTAGCATTTTTCACATTTATCCTTTGTCATATTTAAGCTGTCTGGAGCAAGGTCCACAGAAACAAATTAAATTCACATTTTGTTGCGTAACAGTACACAGATAAAAGATTTCATGCTATATGAGGCATATTCTGATATCTAATACAGCCCAACCCAAGATCCAACAGTGAAGCCAATCCAGAAAAGGAACTGGTATTTCCAAAGTTCCACTAGTGTTACCATGCGCGACAAGTGGCACACAAGCACAGCCCACTGCTTGAACAATCATATGGAGGTTAGCAATTGGCTGCCTTTCTCTTTCTCAGCCTGCTCACACATTAGCTGTACAGAATCTGATTATTCAGGCAGGCTGAAAAGCAAGTTTATCCATAATCTATTCTGTATGACCACAAGGACTCCAAAGAAGAGACTATACACCGAAACCATTTATAATGGAAAATGCTACAAATTAAAAACAGGGAACTATACTACTGTGCTTTGAATTAACAAATACTTTTATTCTAATCAATTTTGCTAAAATGGTGTGACTAAAGCATTAAAATTAATTTAACATTCTTGACTCAGTTAATATTTTGTTTATTTAATGTAGAGTTTACATTTTTATAAAAGCATTTTAAAAATTTCAGCATTTGGCAAAATTAGTACTCATTTTATGATAACATTGTTAATTTAATGCATGACTTGGAATTATACTTCAAAGTGAATTGGAAAAATATGCCTTTTCTCTTCTTGTTGCAGGCATCTCTGTTCACGCATCAGTGAACTGACCTTAAATTTTAACACAGGCAGCACAAAATCACTCATGTATTTCAACAATTTTTTGCAATTCAATCATCTAGTCCATCAATTTCAGATAGATTTTGCAAAAATCTACCCATAAAAGCTAAAACGATTTTTAACATTATCCTTTTATGTTTATTCTCTGGAAAGACCTGCACTGAATTCTGCTTTCTGCTATACATACACATGAAGTTAAAAGTATATTTAGTGAAAAATCAGATGCATATGAAACAACCCAGCTAATGTACTGCTAGTTTTTGGGTTTTGTTCTTGGTTGCCCTTTTTTTTTTTTTTTTTTTGGCTATCCTACTGCATATTTAGAAGTGTTAATTGAGTTTTTAACAATGTTAGTATGTAGTGACCATAACTCCCATTACAGTTAATGAGAATCCTAAATGTCTTTTTGTGTATGGAATACTGAAACGTATAATAACCACCTGAAATGCAAATTGAAAGGCTTTTAAAACTTTTTGTACAGTGAAATATTGTAAAGGAAGAATAAAAAACTACCAGAGTTGATGACCACAAATTTTGCACTAACGCTTTTCAGACTTCACTTTTTCATCTGCTAAGTTCTGTTTCCTCTTCTTTCACTGACATAGATACTGATTTTCTCAATGCTCAATTCCTTTCCACCCTTGACCCCCACTGTCAACAGAGCCCTGTCTTACACTAGTCCAGCTTCTCTAACCTCATGTTCTCTTTTGGCTAACTTTAAAGCGCTCTTCCTTCTTACCGTATAAAACATAAAAGTTTCTCATCTGCTTGTGTAACCCTTCCATTTGCTTCATTCTGACTGTTGCTCATCTGTAAGTCCTCTCTCACATCTTTTATCACTATTTTCCATGCATTTCCTTATTTCGCTTCAAAACGCAGGCATGCTTTAGGGTTCTGCTGTCTTGTGAGAATGAGGGAGAGAGAGCGCACACACGAGAGAGAGAGTGTGCACACGACAGAGAGAGAGAGAGCTCCTTAGCCTATTTGACTCCTAATTCCTGACCCAGTTCCTCATAGAAGTCTTCTGTTGCAAGTATTTTTTCCATTAACCACTGTGCATAATAAAGCCATCCTGACAGTCACTCAGGCTCAAAACTTTTGCTTCATCTAATAAGTGTATTTTTTGTCCAGCTTTCCCACACATAAAGCTCTTATTCCACCTCAAATTTTGGTCTGGGAAGAGAAAGAGGTACTTGGTCATTTGTCTTGGACTTCCAGATGTCCAGCAGTCCTCACAGAGCAACAATTTGGACAGGCCTTTCAGAAGAACAATTGGTGTGAGCAAGTATCAGCTGTGTGCTGTGTGAAGAGTAAGTCTTCAACATTTAGGCACAGCGGATCTATTTTTGCACACACTGAACAGCTGGCCAGTTCTAGATACAGAGACTTGCTATATATGCACAGATCTATGTTACAAAGGGGATTTCTCATAAGGACATATGTGTATCCTACCTTCAAATGAAACCGCTTTCACATCACCAGGCTATGTCTAAATTACAGAGAGTAAAATATAATCTCACTCAAACATTCGTCTATAGATAAAAGCTATACGGGATTTTCAGTGTTTTCAGACCAAGAAGCCTCTTGCGTGGGCTTTGTTGTCTCATGTTTTGATCACTGAAACATCCTCTCTGGTCTTGACAAAGATTTACCTTGCTGGCACTTACTCAGAGCAGTGCTTCAGAAGTAATTTTTGCTGATCATATAGATCACAGTAACCTGGCTTTACTGTGTACCCTTGCCATGTCTTCCTCTAACACACCAAATATTAAAAGGAGTTCATAATCCAGCCCCAGCCTACCTGTGCCATTCCTCACTGAAACGTCCGCTCCCTTCTCCACCACACCAGTCTCTGTTATTAGTTTGTTACATTTTCAAGCAAAGAAATTCTGTGTTTTCTTTACATTATTATTTTTTTGCCTTGTGAGACAGCAAGGATTAGATTGTGACACTTAGTCCAAAACAACTCCTTAAAAACTCTTCTTCCAAGATACCTTCAAGGTGACAGGACAGCCCTTGACCCACTCATTGTCACTCCTGTCATGGTCTCCTTGTTTTCCCCTCCATTTCTGCAGTAGCCCTTTCAATGCAGTGAATAATTTCAGGTTCGTATTTGCACAGTAACTACACCATCAGTGTTCTAATGAAATTAAACAGCTGAGCTGGTAAGAATAAAATCGTATTCTCAGTCACTATTTCTACTTATTTCAACAAATAAACACATATTCATCCTAAAAGAGGTTATAGAGAGGAAAGAACCTTCAGAATGAAAAAATTACCTCAGACGAATGCTATAATTACCACAGTAATTACATATCTTTCTAAATATTAAGAATTTGTTATACTAACCAAACTACATATTAGGTGTAAGCAGGAGAGGGCTGCAGTGGCAACCTGTGTGGGAGAGGGCCATGAACTGCCCCTGTGCCGGTCACAGCCGGTTCCAGCTGGCACCAACACCGGTTTGAGCAACCTGTGAGGCGCCAAAACTGCAGCAGCAAGCCTGAGGAGGCTGCAGCATCCTCACACAGGCACACGTAAGGAAGAAGCCATCAGGGGCTGGAAACATTTGGAAACACAACTGGAAAAGTGTCATGCTGAAAGGAGTGCAGTTCTGGACACCGAGGTGACCCACACTGGGGCAGGGACACCCCTGAGGGACTGCGGCCATGGGTGACCCAGGCTGAGGTGGGGACACGCCTGAGGGACTGCGGCCCACAGGTGACCCACACTGAAGGGAAAAGCAAAGGGCAGCAGAGGAAAACCAGTAAGCAGCGAAGAGCGGCAGTAAGAAACTAAGCACAGAGCTGCTGACAGAAACCTACACAGGACCTCCACCTCCCACACTGCCCAGCACCTCACCCAGGAGAGGGGAGGGACTGAAACCAGCAGCGAAGGTAAGGGGTGCTGAGACCAGGGCGTGGGGAGGGGAGGCGTTGGACAGAAGTTGAGGAAAGGCTCAACTGGGTGCTTCTTTCCTTTTCTCAATACCCAAACCAGTGATCAGAAGTTTGTGTTAATTGGCAATAAATTACATAAAAATTCTGTGACTCCATGCTGTTTTATGCACAGCTTAGTTCCTTTTTAATTAAAGTTTAAATTGAAAAATATGACATTTAGTTATTTTTTTTTTAATTATTTACACAGTATTTCTGCTGTATTACTTAGGCAAAATCATTACTTTGGATTCTAGCTACATACATTTTTACATTTTTTTGTTAGAGATGAGCCTTTTGGTTTTCCCAAAGTAAAAAACTTCACTTAAAAAAAACACTTCTTTTTTATTTCTACATTATTCACAGTAACTGTCACAACTACTGATAAACACAGAGATTATACACCGAAAAATGGCTGGTCAAGTATCTTAATAATTACTTAGTTGAAACATTCTTTCAACTTACAAAAGTTATTTAGATTACAGTTAATCACAATTTTTTTGAAGGACAGTAAACCTTTTTTTGATACAGTATGTAATTATGTCTTTCTACTATATGAGTTTCTGCTAATTATGCAATTATCATGCAAGGAGATTAATATGAAAGATATTCTGAACTAACTGCTTGCTGTTAAAAATACAGTAAATGCACATATACTTCAGGCATATATACTTCATTCTCCATACAATCTCAATGATTTGCATTGGTGTCACTGGGGTCATTTATTTTATTACACAAAGGGCACTTCCCTTGTAGCAAAATAAGGCCAAAATCCTCCTTCACATTCAAAAGTTTGAAGACATTTTTACTGTTTATGCATATGATAAAACTACATATTTGTAAAGTATTAGCAAGGAATATCAGCAAAGGAGAATTTATAAAACCACCAATTCCTCCTCCCTCTCGCTCTCCCCGATCCCCCAGACAAACTGTAGTTTTGATGTCAGTTTTGGACTTTTTAAAGCCATCCTTACCTGCATGATGAATCCCATTACTCTTAAACACTGTAAAACTATCCTCTTGTCATAGATTTAAACATGTACCTGTACCATGGAAAACTAACTACCATACACAAATTACAGGAACTACTGATGATCTAACTTATCACTGTTAGAAAGCACCAGTAATACCTCTGCACGACTTACACATACATACGTACATTTCAGATTCGCACTGAGGAAAGCATGAACAATGAGGAGCTATGTTGGCATTTCATCATGCCATACAAGCTTCAGCAAAAGCTAAGATCTGGTTTTATTAATTCTTACTTATTAACCATTTTGCAATTTGCACTGTACTAAAGAAGCTGTGAGGGGAAAAAAAAGGCAGAGGGAGGGGTGGGGGAGGGGGGCACACCCCAAAGTTAAAAATTAAGGTAATGTAGAAAGTTCAGGCAAACTACAAAACAGATTACTATTATTTGCAACTCCCAAACTCAAGACTACTTGTTTAAGGGGTTTCAGATTGCAACTCATAGAAAAACAGTTTGAAAACACTGTCACCTAAAGAAGTTTGCATTGGAAAATCAGTGTCTGTCCAGCTGGTTCAGATGTCATCTTATATCCATCACCTGCCTGCAACATTTTTCAAGTGTATTGTGTGATGTAAAACATGACAGATAGCAAAAAATGATGGAGGAAAAAAAAAAGGAAGAAAAAACCTCAGACACTCACAGCAATTATATTGAAGAAGTCGTCATCTCCAAGGGTATCCAAAATAGATGAAACTGTCTGTTTTGCAATAGTCAAGCGAAGCCCTTTCATACTGCCACTGACATCTACTAAAATTACCACATCTTTTGGAGAAGTTGCTGCCTGGATGTACCTAAGACAAAAGACAAAACATCTTGTTCTTTTAAATACTAAACTTTTCTTCCTTTCAAATTTCTTAAACACTGGTAGTCATCCAATGCCTACCATTTTCTATTTCTGCAGTCAAATGCAATGACTCCATTCTCATCAGGTTCCCATTTAATTCCTGTTTTAAAAAAGAGATAAAAAGATTAAATTACAACATTTTCACAGTACCTGTTCAAAATGTATCTGTGGTATTGGGGCAAAGTAGCACTCAATGAAGTTTCATACTTTATTCTAATAGGCAATGGTGTTATAACATAGGAAATGCCGGAAAAATAATTTAATAAAACAGGACCACCAGAAACAATATTGTTTTCTTACTCCTTTTTAGCTTACTGTAAGGTGAAAACCTCTTCAAGCCTACTATGTTCATCATACTACTGTCACTAAAGTATTGTCATACTTGGTCATTGGTGCTGGCAAGCTTTATCACATGCTTGCCAAGCCCCTTTCAAGCCCTGAGCGCTTACTACCCATGGCTGATCTCAACAGGTCCTGTTATACTAACTGCTTCACTCGTAGGTCATACACCTGATGTTTTGCTCACAGGAAAGGTAATATATCCCGGTTGTGGGTCAAAAGAAATATAATAAAAATATCTCCAAGCAAAAAAAATTGACAGGGCAAACCTTCCTGCTTTTTACACTCGTTTTCTAGCACAAAACAACAAACAGCCTTTAAAATAAGGACTAACATTTTTTCTACCCTTGAAATATCATGGAGTTTGAGAACTGAACTATAATCTAAAACTAACACAGATGTAGTAGCCATTACTCTCAGTCACTCTCAGACATACAGGCTTATAGTAAACTTGCTCATATTAAACTCAAGACTTCAGACTTAAAAAAACATGGGTTGCTAAACCATGACAGCTAAAGGAACAGTTCCCACTATGGGCCTGATCCAAAGTTACAAAAGCTGAGGATCAGTTATTAACTTTTCCGTTTATTTAATATGTAGTAACTTTGGTATGTGATTAAGCATAAAACTTAATAGGTAACAATATATTTTAACCTATTTCTGTAGAAATAATATAAATTATCTTATTGCATTTTATTACAACTGGTGTGGAAGTAAAACAAGTTTTTGAAATCTTTAAAAAGATGTCAGGTTAAGTGGAAGTCTAAAAACTGAACAATAAATTACAATTAAGTCTTACTGTATGCATCAATAGAGCACACTATTTAAGTTCAGTACTATATGAAGAGTTTAGTCCTTTTGCCCTCCTTCTCCACAGTCTGTTTAGAAGTTATTTTTCATATATGTATATCTGAATAGGAATATACACGAGTACATGAGTTATCTAGGGGGCTTCACCTCCAGATGAAAATTGGTAGAAAAAACTCAGAGCATTGTAAATGTTGATTAGAAATATCTTTCTGAAAGCTAGATAAAATAAAATCAAACATGCAAATATCTGTGAAAGTCATGATTTGTGACACTACTCAGTGGAAATTTGCCGCCATAGCATTCTTTATTGTATTTTAAGTAAGAACTTGTATTCTTCTTACCTGGATATTGTCTGAAAAATCCTTTTGCACTTCCAAAGTACTGCCAGATGAGAGAAGGGTCACGATCAAAATTATCAACAAACACCTTATTTAAAGATTCTGACCAATAAACTCCATTTACAATGGCTGGATCTGGGGGAGGAGGAGGGGGGAGGAAACAGAGAAAAGTGATTTTCCCTAAATAGAATGTCTTGAACTCTGTCATCTTCCACTTACTCAGTACCCAAAAATCTAGTGACTGCAAACTACTGCAGAACATCTTTTGGTTTCTTTTTTCAATTAAGTGATTCAAAATAAATGATACACTTAAATAACAAAAGTATGGTTGAAATACAGAAAAGACACCAGGTACAATTTTTAGATAAGTTAAAATTGCTCGTTAGACCATCTATCTGGAACTACTGTATCGCTTGTTCTGGAGAACATGAGTCAATCTAATAATAGATTATTTATTCAATTTACTTTCCCTAAATGCATGGAATGTCTCATGGCAACACTTTATACTTTTTTTTTTTTTTAATCTTCAACTTGGTAATACCATTCTCACTATATCTAAAAGTTTACGTGTAGGAACAGAAAGTGAAATACCTTTTATTTCACACTTGAATGAATTATGATATACATACAAACACAAAACCTCATGACAAATAACACTAATTATTATTTGGAAAACACTGGACCAGATTTCACAACAATTACCTCATTATTTTTTATTCCCATAGAAAGAGAAATTCAAAGCAAATCCTTGATGTTGAAAATAAACTATTTCTGTTGAAAACACCCCCATCTATCAATTCCGAAAAACCCAGGCTGCCCAAGTGTGTTTTTAAGCTGCAGATTCAGTTAGATAGTGGGAAATCAGAAATAAATGAACATATCTTAGAAAGTTACTCAATTTCAAACTGTGAATTTTGAAAAATGAGAAACAATAAAGATATACTATATTCCCAGTTCAATCTGTATGTGAAGTCAGCAGTTTAGAAAGGAAAAAAGGGAACTAATATCACAGATGTATTATTTCATTTGTAAAAATGTGCATACATGAATACACAGTAACATTTGCTCAAGCATTTGAATAACGCTTCCATTAGCTTGCAAAATAATGTGGCTGTACTGATTTCAGAAGACTGCTTAGAATGTGATTTTAATGGAGTGGAAAAAAGGTGAATTGTTATCTTTCCTTACATTCATCAAGAAAAACAGCAGAAAAAGGGAAATGTTTCAGCTACAAATCTTTGAATGTTGCTTTCATCTAAATATTTAGGTTTACATAGATGGACTGCTGAAAAAGCAAGGTCAACAAAACAGATGTTTTTAAAACACGTCTAGTATAGTTACTTTTTTCACTAAAAGATGAAATAGACATTTAAAATCTGTCCAGCCAGACACATATCAAGCAAACCAATGTCACTAGTCCAAAAGTACTACTTCAGTTTTGCCTAGCTAGCAAAATCCATTGTCCGGTTGTTTCTAAGTCTGCAGTTACTCCAATAACAAGCTGTGATTAAGACATCACTAATTAACTGTCAAGACTGCCTATCCTGGGATTTATCATCAGTTTGTAAAAATATCCTCCCATTTCAGCGCCCCAAAATTTTCATCCATTGTTCAGCATTTAGACATTCCGTGAGAAATGAAGCACTAAAATGAGAATCCAGTTCTCAGTCCACTGGAACTTCCCAGTACTACTTAAAATATTGTTATTCTGGTTCTGCTCCTATACACAAGTTCTGGTGGAGTATCTGAATCACTAAAAAGCACAGTGGCATTATTGACTCAGCATTACAATATTGAGATAAGGTGATAAGTTTAAGTCATCTTTGAAAAGAGCAACAGAGTTCAGAGGGTTGGTTTTGGTTGGTTTGGGTTTTTTTACCCTTGGAAGCGTTGCTAGAAAAGCCTGTTTAGAGGAAAAACAAGGAACCTTTCCTCAGCCTCTAGAGAACAATATACCCTTCAATCATCAGGATTTGTGAAAAGCCAAACCAATCAAACAGAATAATTCTATCTTAATTTATATTTAAAATAACTGTAGTGGTTCTTAGCAACTCACATTCAGATCTCATTCCAAGACTGCACATTGTACCTTCGTATTTTACAATATCATCAGTTCATCAGATGTATTCTATCCTAGATTCCTCAAAGGCTAATTTTTAATGCCCTTTCCTAATGAATCTGTGCTATAGTGCCACTCATCTAAGTAGAACCTTCACTCTGCCTCCCAACCCAATGATAATTTCCTTTAAATTCTGTATACACTCCAGCTCCATAAGGTCATGGGACAACTTTAGTTGTCCACCTATTAAGTTCTAAACTGAATGTACAATCCTTCCAGTGACATTTGAAAAAATATATTTATATAAAAAAATACATATATAAAGCTACGTTTAAAAAATTCATATTAAAATATCCATGCCACCACAGTAGTGGATTACTTTTTTTAGCCCATCTATGAAGAGCCACTTAACACGTTTATATATCTGTACTACGGATTAGAGAACTCCATGGAAATAGAATCAGGATTTTTTCCTTGAGCATGATTGGTTGAGTCTATATTCTGCATTAGATTGACAACACTAATCACTAATCATCCAAATGCTGATCACCATAATCATTAATCCATTCTGAAACTAATAGGAATTTTTTAGCTGCAAGGAGCATTAAGCAGGCATCTTAAATAAGAGGGCACAATTAAAATGTTATCTATGATGACTGGGTTCCTTCAAAATGAAACCTGGTGACAATTCACTACCTTCCTACACCCTGCATATCTATTATGCTGCCTGTTCTTTTTACAATATACCAAGTTACATTTTATGCATCAACCATTTTTATAAAAAAGCAAATAAGGTCACACTCAGTTTAATCCTTAGAATACAAAGAAAAGCAAAGTGGGGAAAAAAATGTATTTACAGTTCAAAACTGCAGACCTACAGACTTCATATGGAAATCACGGTTCTTTACCGGCTACTGTATCTTCAGGCAGAAAGATTTCAAACCCAACCTCCTTGTTCTGAATTTGATAATGACTGTTATGTGGATGCACCTCTGTCCACATGCACCATCCTAAATACAGCTGAGTTTCTGACCATATTATCCTCATTAAAATTCTACAGCCTCATCTTCTAATAACCTATATTGTTAAGCTTGTAGTTCTGGGCAACTTCCAATTTTAGTAATAACACTAAATTGCTTAAAATGCCCCCACTACTTCATTTAGAAACAGTATTCTTAAGTTTTTATATTACTGGTGAATGTCATCTTCATGCCCAAAATAGCTATATGTCAGTAGTGGTAAATTAATGCTTGTGAATAATCAGAAATTTGGGGAGGGAGAAAAAGAATAAAAGATAAAGCTTAATATAAATGCAAAATCATTAACATGATGTTATGGGGCTCAAAGACAATAAGTGTAAATAGCTTCTGCCACAATTCTTGAAACATAATTTCTGCTTTTGATTCCCAGCAGTAACAGCTAAAATACAATTTAAAAATTCCTTTCCCTCACCTTTTAGATGGGTTGGCTTGCAATTATATGGGATTTTGCTCCACTGCTGTTTGTGTAGCTGTTACCTGCTTTTTAATGATATTTAATACAAAACCAACCCCCAGGCAAATAGGTACACTGACAAAAATCTGAAACATAATTGCCAAAGAACAGTACAAACGCATGTAGCAATTAAGTTGCTGTCGTAGATACTGCTGACCTGAAGAAATAGGTCTGAAGTCTCAACAAAAGCAACCAGACTGAAAGCAGACTGAAAGATGCGCAACAGCATGCCAAAGGTTAGCACTATAATGAAATGTATTTTAATTCACAGAATCCATGAAAATATCTAGAGTAGAATAAGTCTATGGAACAAAACTAATACATACACAACACATTTTGCTTTCTAATTATTCCAGCAAGCTTTACAGAAAATAAGGGAGACCACCAAGGAATTCAGTGACTATGAAGAAAATGCAGAATACACCTCTTTCTTGCCATAATCTCCTTTATTACCAAGAAAAAAACGTTACCAATGATCCTTAGTTTTTTTCCCCTATTATATTACCATTGTAATATAATCATTAATTTCTCCTGGAAAGCTGACAAAAATGCTGGCATCCAAAATGGTGTTCCTTCTTGTAATATCTGACGATCTCAGGGGCAGCCCCTAACATTGCAGAGCAGTACTGTCATACAACAAAGGAGTACAAACACAGCCTACAGGACCAAGCACTGGAAAAGGAATGCAAAATCCAGCATCCTTTTGGCTCAAAGATAGCAACAATATTAGCTTAGTCTTGATGACACTGACAACATATTTAGTCTGGTCATATTTTAAAGAATAACAAAATCACATACTTCGCTGGGACATACACCAACAATCTAATAATTATACTACTCAACACTAATATGAATGCTTTTCAGGGTGGTCCAACATATTCAAGAGCTGGGGCTGGATGCCAATTTTGGCAACTGCCTTTGCTTTATTCTCTCTCTTCCCCTCCCTCTGCCTCCACTGGGTAATGTGGATGCATCAGCTCACAGATCAAAGCATCTGGCCATCTGTAGACACAAAAGAAGGTGTTTGTCCATTTTGCTTCATGTGCTGAGAACCATTCAACAATGTCAGAAATCACATTCCCTCCTCATAAGTATGTCGGGTGGTAAAGACTTCAAGTGTGTGACTCTATAGAGGCATAGCAGTAGGTATTTAGTTGTTTCAGCTTCCAACATTGCCCTAATAACATTCCTGTTCTCCTCTGAAGTGGCAGCAGAAGAATTAGAGTATGGCCAGATCTGTTTATTTTTATGCTGAGTTTCATGAGTGGGTTTGGGGTTTTTTGGGGTTTTGGTTGGTTTTTTTTTTTTGTGAACAAGGTGGTCTGAGATTCAACTTCAGTTCATTTAAAAGCCAGAATTACAGCTGCAAACTCCTCACTAACACCATTCTGGGATAGAGATTCAGTTCTGACTCTGCTAAGAGCTTGCCATCTAATGAATTATGAAAAACATCCTGCAGCAAATCAGTGTACCTTTAAGGTCACCCATTCAGCTACTGACCTGGTTTGACCCTGCTTAACTTACCAGATGTAACAGCTAAAAGCAACCAGTATGTGGGCAGACCTGTGAATCGGTTAGAGCA